GTTGAACTCAACTACTAAAAATTCTAGCAGTTTTGATTGTGGATTTGAAATAAACCCAGCCCCCCAGCAACATGACTGAGTCTCCAACATGTGAAATGGGGAATTAGGAATGCAACTGTCTGATTTGGTCTGATAATTCCAGATGTTCTTCATGTATAGAGTGATTTCTTGGCACTCACTCTGATTAAATTCCCAGGATTTCCACAACACTGGGTAACCCCAGCTCTCAAATGCATGCTAAATATCCATAGACATCCACAATTTCTTATCTGAAGCACTTGGAACAAGATGTGTTTTGGAATTCAGAGTTATGCGTATTTTAGAAAGATAACATGTACCTTTGCCATATCTCACAGAACACCCTCTGCAGGTGGAGGCAGCACTTAGTAATCACATTAATATTCCTGCAGGAAAATGTATGACTATTCCTCCCAGTGGGATGCATGAAGACTACAAGTGCTATAATAGTTAAGTTAAAGCATATTTATATAGTAATACACTGGTAGATTAAATTGTATGATGATAAACCATCAATACCCTGGGTACCCCCTATTTCTAAGTAAAACGTTAGATATAGCCAATTGAAAATAAATAAAATACCTGTATACATACCTGTAATGTACGTTCATGGTCTCTGGATGCTTGAGTACCTTCCAGAAGAGGGTGCATCGGGGCTGCCTTAGCTCTCTCATCATGTGCTTGTTGGCCATGTGATGATCGTTAGGGAACCGGATTCTCCAAGGACAAAGTGGTACTGTGAAAAACAACCCTTTAAAAGACTTCTTTCATTGTCATTTGTCTTGTCAACCTACAGTTCTCTCTGAGCAGTCTCTCTCTGAGTAAACTGCCATAATCTTTTGTTCTTGAGACCAACAATTAACAGGCCACACATTTCAACCATACCTAGGTTGGGGGTTTGTGAACATTTTCTGCATCAGGCCACCTGGTAAATATTGCTGACTTAGCAGATCGTATGTCCATGCTGCGATTGCAGTGCATGAGTAGCTGCTGTCGATATGTTAAGGGATAGACATGGCTGTGTTCCAATAATGCTTTATTTACAAAAACAGGTGGTGGGCTGGGTTTGGCAGGTCAGTTTGCCAGCTCTTGTTCTGTGGGATTTTTTCCCCACTATTGTTCACAATTCTATTGTCATTGCCACCACTATTATCCTCATACTTATCAATGAGGATATGGTAAGGAAATGTTTATCTGCTCTTCCTGGAATACACAATTCCTGAGTCAAAAGGCCATATTATAGATTTCATGCTGAGGAACAAGTAAGTACCTAAAGCATTACATTTCACAACAGTGTGTGGGAGGGCACGCCAGAAACTGTATTATATGAGAGTGTTCTTCTAGCCTAGATTTCCTGCTTTGGTATGCTGTTATTAGACTACTCAGAAAATATTCCTAAGAAGATCCTTCTTATTTGCATAATGATAGATAGGTAAATTGAGTTCACATTTCTATCATCTTGGACGTTGGTTTTTTCCAATTGCTGACCAGGCTATCTTCCTTTGCCCAAAGCGTTGACACACCCAAGGACCATCAAGCTGAGCCTGAGGACCTCTCTTCAATTGTCTGTTAGGGTTTCTCTAAGATCACAGCTTCCTGGCAAGATGGGGCTGTTTGATCAGCATTGTATTTGTATTCAGGACTGAAGTTTTTGTCATCTATTGTCTTATGCTGAACACCAGGAAATAGATTCTGGGACAAGATCTGTGTTCAGGAGGGTTTTTGGGGGGAGAATTCTCAGCATCAACACTTGTGGGGAGTCAGGAAGGGAGGATGAGGCAGAGGGAGGAGTTGCTCTGTCATGCTATCACAACAAAGAACCTCAGCCCTTTGAGAGGGAGCTCTGGAGCCATGATGGTCCCTCATAATTGCTCCGCTTTGAGGCAAGGAGGGTGCATCTTTGGGTACCACACATTGTCTTTGGGCTACCACAGGAGTAGATGATCTTTGGGCTATCACAGGGGTAGATGATGTCACCTTGGGAAAGGTAGCTTTCTTTGGCTGAGGGCAATTCCCAAAGACAGACTAAGCACCGTCAGCCATTGACCCGACCTGCGGCTGGGGGGAAGGAGACCTCAGTCCTCACTTGACATCTGTGCTCACACTACAGCATCCACCAAGGATGTTCTCTTTGCAAATTCCTCAACACCATATCCTCCTCCTTCATGTTCAGAAGATGTTTTTCACCCTGGATTTCCATAAAGCTTCTTAAATTCCTTCAGCCATTCTTCTGAATATTCACACTTGCCATCAGTATTCACTTCTCTGTGGAATATTCTGCAAATTTTCACGAGTAAGTGGGTGATCAGTTCATCCAAGTTTGCCTAGGACTGTCACAGTTTGAAACCTGGAACTCCTCAGTCCCGGACAAACTGGGACAATTGGTCACCCTATGGCAAACCAGTCAGTCGAATTTCAACAACTTGCCTTACCATGTCTTTACCAAGTCACCAAATGACAAAAGTCTTTTGGCTCCCAGGGATTGTTGTGTCTCAGAGTCAAGGACAAGGGATGGTGGACACTAACTCCATCCTAGGTCACTATTGTTTTCAGCACTGTATGACTGAAACCTCATTGGAGAGGGAATGAGAGTGGGGATGAGAATGAGGAAAAAAATGACCAAGTAAATGACAGTTAGGAAGATTATAGATAAACATAGACTGGAAGGGGTAATGAGGCATGCTTGTTATTTTTTAACTCACGAACTAATCAGAATGTAAGTTCTTAATAATAAAGCAGATGTGACCTCTTGATCTGTTTCACTCGTCTTGTTCTGTGACTGTAATTTGTATTATAAATTTTGTCTAAAGAGACTTATTTTCACATAACTTGTAATATTGATGGCAGAACTGCCATACATAGTTGCTGTGTATAATGGTTTGAACTGGATGTGAGCCCCCCACCCCCCAGCTTATTTGCCTGTCTCTGTGATCTGACCCACTTTAATGGTTATTAAACCAACAGTCTAATGCACAGTGTCTAAACCTTGGTACTACTGACATTTGAGACCAACTCATTCTTTGTTGTGAAGGACTGGGATGGATGGTTCTTTGTGGAGGGGTCTGTCCTGTGCATCACAGGAGATGAAGCAGTATCCCTGGCCACTCCCCACTGGATGCCAGTAGTACCCACCCAATTGTGAGGACCAAAAATGTCTCTAGACGTTGCCTAATGACACCTGTGGGGCAAAATCACTGTTGGGCGAGAACCACTCTAATAGGATTTTGAAAAATGTCCTCTGAGCATGGGCCTCTAGATTTTCCTTTGTGCTGTTTTCCTTCTGCAGGTATCATCCCTTGTGGCAATATCACTGTTGTAGGCATTATGACTTAATCCCTTTAGATGTGTTTCTTCTTCTTCATTACTTACTAGGAGTAGTGAGCACAAAGCATCAAATATGGGTCAAAGGGCTTCCATGCTGATATCTTAAAATCTGTTTCTGAAAATAAAAGGTATAGGCAAGAGAAAGGAAAATGATGATTTGGATCTTTCCTGCCCTGAAAGGGGAGTTGCCCAGTTGTTCAAATCCACGTCAATACGATCTGAGTCTTGCCAAATACTGTCACGGTGAACGGGTGGAAGAGATGCCCCTGCCTGGTGGTGCCATTGTTCCTGCAGCGGGAGGTTAGGGATCAGTGTTGACAGCACACCATTCCATGTCAACAAGAACCTAACATGAAAAGCTGTGCTGGAAGATTGATTACAGTTTCAAATGCCGTCTCTGGGGGAAAAATAACATTTCTGGGACACTGATTGAACCTAAGAGATTGTTGCTGGGAGCTTAACTTCACTAAAGCAAGATCCACATTTATAAAAATCTATAGAATCGTAATTTCCCTCTAATGTGGTGTTCTCTTGTGAATATTATTTGCCAATTGGGATTATATGTCATATTTTAAAAGTATAAACAGTAGATTTATACATTAATAAATTGTTTCAAGGCATATGCTACTTTTTATCTAAATGTCAACAACTGAAAAATATATATTCTTCAATAGGTTCAGAGCCATCTGTTCAGCTTTCTTCTGAGATCATTTTCAATTCATGTGTAGGGCTTTTTCTGTAAAGGGCCAGATAGTAAGCATTTTCAGCTTTTTGGTACAATCTGTGTTGCAACTGCTGAACTCTGACGCTGCAGCATGGAATCAACCATAGATAATAAGTAAATGAATAGATGTAGCTGTGTTCCAGTATGCTTTGTTTATGGACACTGAAATAGAAATTTCATATACTTTTCACATATCACAAAATATTGTTTTGTTAACTACTTAAAAATTCTAATGGCTACAAAAACAAATGTGCAGGGGCCAGCCTGGTGGCGTAGTGGTTAAGTTCACGTGCTCTGCCTCAGTGGCCCAGGGGTTCATGGGTTCAGATCCCAGGTGTGGGTCTACACACCGCTCATCAAGCCATGTGGTGGTGTCCCACATACAAAATAGAGGAAGATTTGCACAGATGTTAGCTCAAGGACAATCTTCCTCAAGCAAAAAGAGGAAGACAGGCAACGGATGTTAGCTCAGGGCCAATGTGACTCACCAAAAAAAAAAAAAAATGGGTGGACAGTCCCATGCGCCATAGTCTGCAACCCCGGTTCTGTTCAGAAAATATTTATTGAGAGCTTGCTATGGCAAACAAATGGCATTTGCCCTCTTGATCCTTAGAGCTTGTGGGAAGGACAGATATCAAACAAAAAGAAACCAAATAAATCTATTATAGCAAATAGTGATAACTACTATCAAGGGAAAAGAAGGTGCTATGAGAGTCAACAATGGGGGAACCTGATTTATATGAAATAATCAGGGGGGGCTTCTCTGAGGAGGTGGCTGGTCAGCTGAGACATGTGGATGACTAGGAGTTAGGCAGAGTGGAAAGAAGAAACATGCAGGCAGAGGAATCCTCTAGGCAAGAAAGAGCTAATTTCATTTAAGTATTTCAGCATGTGGTTATTCAGTATATGATTCTTGTTTTGAATGAATTTGCAGGATGAGCCTGATGCTCCCTGTTCATCTCTGCTGAGAGCCACTCACATCGTTGGACCTGCATATGGTGATCTTGATAACAAGATTTTCTGAGGACAATCACCCAAGACTGTCTTCAGTTGTTACCAGTGTAAGTATAAGAAACGCCTGCCTTGTTTTCATTTCACTCTGAAAATATCAATGCCTATTCACAAGACATTTACCTCACGCTGACCATGTTGACTGAGTCAAATATGAGTGTTTAGTGACCTTTATCATGGTATTTCAGAAGATTCCGATATTGCAGGATAACGTGAATTTGGAGCTGCCCTGCTATTCCTTTCCTTCAGAAAGGACTTTCCAACAAAAGGTCACTTTGCCAAAAGGGAGCATCAGTAGGGGTAGACATTTTCCTGGAGAAAAGCTGTACTGGGCAAATGCGGGCAGTACACACTGCCTAATAAGCAAAAGCAGATGGCACGTAATGTGAGAAGTCGTGGAAAATGTCGGGGTGGGATTTTATGAATGGTCTAATCCACGTCCTGGACCTCTGAGGTGGCTCTAGCTGAATCAACAAAGCTACAAACTCCTAGCACAGTGGGAAGGCTCCTCATGTGCCCGTTGACCTCAACTGCTTTTCTGCTTCAATACCTGAGGGACAGAGCAGCTCCCTTCCTGCAGGAAGAGCGCCTCCCCCTGGTGGAGGTGAGTGTGATGAGGGACAGAGCAGTTCCCTTCCTGTAGCAAGAGCGCCTTCCCCTGGTGGAGGTGAGTTGTGTATGGTGTTCTTGGGGATAGGATGAAGGAAACAGTTTTAAAAGCCCTTGAAGGTGAGAATCCCTGTTATACAAGCTTCTCTCAGACAGGGGCTGCATCTTTATGACATTCTGCTATTGTGATGTCATCGTGGGCACTGTGTGGCATTCAGATCATGTCACTGTCCTCCTGTAGCAACAGGCTCAGAGGTAGGGGCACAGAGATGCTTTTAAAGAAGACATTGGTTCCCATTGGTATGGAAAGACTCCCAAAGACGGAACTGTGTTGTGGAGTCAGAGAGACCCGGGCACTGGATCCCAGCTCACCATGGGCTGGCCTCATGTTCTCAGGAAGCTGATTAACCTCTCTGCTCTGTAAAATGGAGATGAAAAGGACAGGTCATAAGTGGTTATGAAAAGTAAGGGATGACCTTTGTTTGGGGACAAATATAATGAATACCTGGATGATCCTGCCAGCCAAGGTGATGGGAACTGAGACGAGGGTGCGGGAAGATTTAATGGTCTTTAAAATGCAGCTTTGGACTCTTGGGTTACTGATGACAATTTAAGGAGATTTCACCCTTCAGGGGGAATTTGGCAAAGTCTCAAGGCATTTTTGGTTTCATAACTTTGGAGGGGCTTTGCTACTGGCATCTCATGGTTAGAGGGATGCTTCTAAATATCCTGCAATGCACAGCACAGCCCCACGACAAAGATTTATCCAGCCCCAAATGTCAATAGTGCTGAGGTTGGGAAACCCTGCTCTATGGAACAAGAGACTTGAACTTAATCTTCTCTTTCTTCCTAGAATATTCAATGGTCTTTCACTTTGCAGTATCTGAGTTAGAATAAGAATTAAAGAGAACAAAAAGACAATGACCTTTTAGGATTTTTTTTCTATTAAATTTAAACCGCACAGCAGAGGCTTCTCATACTGGAGGAGACATCCATGGAGGCTAAAGCCTCAGCTTGTACTCGTTCTTAATGCTGAGCAGCTTAACAGATTCATTTTCTATTGTGATTTCTGTAATTTGTTCTTTAAAAGGATCGTGTGTTCCTTTTCTCTGTTTCAGAAACAAACTTTTGGGCGGTTTTAAAGAATAATTTATTTTCTAAAGTTGTTGTTAATGCCAGAGCCGGCTTTGATTTCTGACCCAGCTTTCAAAGCCGTAAGCACCTGCTAAGTAGAGTTTTATTTTTATTCCTCTGGAAAACAACTATACATTTTGCAGGGAAAGGCTTTCAGTACTTTTTCTTTTTTGTCGTTTTAGTCTAGAGGGGAGATTGACATTCCTTGGATCCAGTTAGAAAAGCTCAGAAAAAATTGACAGACTCAGTGGCTAATTAAAAGTATGCGGCTGAAAAGGCTCATGATTAATTCATGATAAACTAATACCGCATTCATTATCCTTTCTTAATGTTCTGATGTAAAGTGCGAGTCTTCAGTGGGGACTAAAATATCTGTTCCTAAATACCTAATAACAATATCCATTATATCTTACCAACATAAAGCCGTCCTCATGGGGTATTTCAATGTACTTCACAGTCAGAATTCACGATTCTTGAATACGGCATATTAAACTCTTTCCCTCTCCTTAAGTGGATGAAGACTTTGGTGATAATCAAGAAAATACTTTTATCTTGTCTCTGGTATTTCTGATTTGTTCCCATCCGAAAAAAAGGTTTAGTGATATTAAAATAAAGTTTTCTTTTGAAATAAAGAAAGGAAAAAAAGGAAATTTTATCAGATGTAATTTTATTTGACGAGAACTGCCAGCAGGCTGTTGGCTCGTTCTGCTTAAAATGTACACTAGGATAGTCAGTAATTTTTTTTTAATCCTTTGATGATGATAAAATGTTTTGCAAGTGGACTGTAAATCCTTAATAAGGATATTTTACAGCAGCAGATACAATAATAAGCACATTTTTAGTCAAGATAACTTCTACCAAAGAATTTATAGTGACTGTGCTGTGTGTCTCAAATAAAATGAATGAGAGAAGGTTCATTAAGAGGTAAATTGTGAGAGAAAAATGGAGCAATCTGGAGGTTGTACTCCAAACCACGAGATCGTTAATAATGGGACACCTTGGTGTGATGGACCTCCTAAAATGAGGCAAAAAGAAGGACACAAATAAACCTGTGTGATGCCCTTGCCAAAAAGACTCAACGTGAATCTGTTCACAAGGAAATAAACAGACTGATCCAGAGTGTACCACATTGATAGGATGATTGACCTGGATTCTTCCCCAAAAGTCAGTGTTGTGGAAAACCAAGAAAGGTCGGGGGACTGTTCCAGATTTTAAAAGACTAAGAAACATAACAATACCTGAACCTTGAATGGGTCCTGGATTGGAAAAAAGAACGAAGTGGTGTAATTATTTGAGGACTGTCCAGAAGGTGAGTTGATTGAATCAGTGTTAGTCTTCACAGTTGTTATTATGGTATTGTGTGTATGAAGGAAAATGTCTTTATTCTAGGAGACCCATGCCAAAGTATTTAGACGGCGAAGTGTCATAATCACATAATCTGTCATAATCACTTGCTGTGAAACATCATGATACACAAATACAGATATTTTCCTTGCCTTTCTTAATCTTCTGATGTAGAAAAAATATATCTGCATGTGTATGTATATACACACATGTGTACACATATAGAAAGACAGAGAAAGAAAGCAAGCAAATATGGCAAAATGTAAACAGATAGTAAACCTAAGTGAAGGAGTATACCTGTGTTTATTTTTATTCTTTCAACTATTTTGTAAGTTTGAAAATTTTCAAAAAAACGTTTTGGAAAAAATATGTATGAAGATTTATTTTGCTTCTCGTGTTTGAGGAGATGTTTTAGTTCCACTGATTTCATTTTTAAAATTTAGTATGGAACCAATTCATAAGAGGCACGTGTTGTGTGCCCTCCTTTGTCTGAATCAGGGATTCCTGTGCTGGCCATGGTGCTCATCATCATCTAGTCCCATTTTTGGTGGATCACCAGATCGTGTGGCCTATACTTTGCAAAACTTCCTCTGTGACTCTAAAGATGATGAATCCCTGTTTCTTTGTTGGGTTGTATTTACAAAATAACTGTGGAGCCTGTCATCTTGCTTTTTCCATGTGGCTTCTTTGTGCGGTATTCACCACACAGTAGACTCTTGTTGACAGGTACATTCAGAACTTGTCTTTGGTAATTCCTGTGCCACCTTCCAAACCTTCCCAACTCCTACTTTCTTTTACCTGAGACGGGGTTGCCTTGATGGTTTAATCGCTACTGAATACAATTGCAGGAGCTGTCTCAGGATTTATATAAACAGTGGGCTGGTTCATACCTGCCATTCTGTGTTTGTCTCTGCATAGTTTGCCAAAGCAGGGTTAACTCAGTTGCTGTGGACCTGGGAATCTCTGCATTAGAGCAGGACTAACAAAGCCTGTGTTGCCCCTTCTTTATAAGCACTCCGTGGCTTCAGAATTTTGAGCAATGATTTTGCTCTAAATTTTGAAAAATAGCATGTAAAAATACCTAAGTAACAAAGCATTCCATTTATATGAAGACATCTACAAACACAATCCAGCCAAACACTTAATTTGCAATCTTTACATCCATTCCAGTGGAAACATTTAGAACATCAGATCTGATATGCAGTGCTTGACAAACTGTTCCCATTGGAACCCTAAGCGCTCCTCAGACTGCTACTGGGAGCCCCCTCCGGCCTGTGGGGAGTGGTCTTCTGAGTTGATCCAACCCACTTCTTCTAGCAAAGTAACATTGATTTTCATCTATATTGGACTTTCTTATGGACAGAAGATCCTGTCACTAACAACAATGGCAAATGTTGATTTCTCTACTTGTCCTCTTTTATAACTGAAGACAACACTGAAAAAAAGATGTTCAGTTATTTACATAAAGATTAGATGGGTCTACCCATGGCCTCAGCTGTATCTTAGCCACAGTTTCTTTAGTAGCATGGCTTTTTTTTTTTTCCTTGAGGAAGATTAGCCCTGAGCTAACTGCTGCCAATCCCCCTCTTTTTGCTGAGGAAGCCTGGCCTGAGCTAACATCCATGCCCATCTTCCTCTACTTTATATATGGGACACCTACCACAGCATGGCTTGACAAGCGGTGCTATGTCCACATCCTGGATCTGAACTGGCGAACCCCAGGCCGCTGAAGCGGAATGTGCGCACTTAACCGCTGCTCCACCGGGCCAGCCCTAGTAGCATTACTTTCTAGCCATAAAGATTCACAATAATAAAGACACACATGGATTGTCTTGGAAGACATTAATTTAGGCTCAAAGATCTCTAATGTAAAAAGAGCCAAAGGCTCCTTGCATTTGCCTCTCAAGTGTCTCTTGCCTTTCATTTGTACCTGGCACACCTTGGGCTGAGCCATCTTCATCTC